ATCCACCCACACAGCCACACAACCACACAGCCACACAACCACACAGCCAGCCACTGAGTAAGAGTGAAAGTAAGAAAAGAAAAAGGCCCAGAGGCAAAAGGTAGGTGGAATAATTAAGGGAAAGCTGACCAGAAATAAGCCAAGCTAAGGCTGAGCATTTATAAGTAATAATAAGCATCCATATGTGATTTATTTGGGAGCTGGGTGGTGGCCCCCAAAAGAGCAAAGAATAAAGAGTAAAACACAACTTACCAATAATTTTTCTATTAAAAAATTATTGAAATTCAAAACAATATACCGAAAAAGGAACTGTTTGAAAAAGGAGAGAGGAGATAATGTTTGCTACTCTGTGATCGAAACTTAACATCTGATTTTTGCTTTCTCTTTAAATAAGCCTGGCTCTTCAGCCAGACATGCATGCTGTCATAAGCTGTGCTTACTGGCTGCTCTAATTTGGAAAACATTGTTAAGCAATGCCATGAGAAACAACAGGAGTCTACCCGTGCCCTAGCTTAAACCTTACCACCTCACCAGAAGCCCCTAAGGTGCTGAACACTCAACAGTCACCAAAGGTCAACCTGAGACCGTGGCTATGGGTTTGCTGTCTTGTCCAAAAAAAAAATTAAAGACACAGAATCTTTTGGGAGTAGGTACAATGGTAGTGAGCTTTAATGGAGACTTATATAAAAGTAAGAAATTGAGAAAAATTAGAAATTAAGAAAAAAATGAAACTTCAGAGAGAGGGAAGAACTTCCATGGGAAGTACAGTGGGGAAAGCTATGGAGCACCTTTGTTATAAGTTGTTATGGTTTCATAACAGAAATCTGACCAGGGCTGAGGTAAGCTCTATTGAGATTGGTGAATTCTCTGGGCTATGGGGCCAGAGCCAATAGGGCATGTCTTTCTGCCCCAACCAAGGAGATGGCCACGATCTCTTTTCCTGGGGTGCTGACCCTGTTATGGATGGTTGAAGTCCTATGCTGTCCATTAATGACTCCATCTTTGTTGGGTTTTCAACCGGATGCTATTGGTCACTTGGTCATAATTACGCCCCTCGGACTTGTGCTGGTGTCTCAGGTGTTACTAGTTACTAATTACACTAAGTTCTCTTTGTTTCCACATTTCCATGCCAGGCATGTAGCTTTCCTGGGGAAAAAGAGTTAACTTGATCACAGTCAATAAGATGGAGCTGCAGGTTTTCTTGATTACCCCACATTTACCTCCTGTCTGAAGGGTGGTCTGAGGTGGTCTCCTCGGCAGAAGTGTCTTGTGAAGCCATCCTTACTGACAATCTAAACTGTTACCATCAGCGGCATTAGGAGCAAGAATATAAGAAAGGGCATGTCTTTCACTTCCTCCTTCTCATCTGTTAGGCTTGGTATCATACCCATATGCTTCGGTATTCCAAACATCCCCTTGTTAATCCTTACGATTCCTCTTAACCCCAGCCTCTGTTCTTGCTGAGTTGTGAACAGTTCAGGAGTTTTCATCATGCCTTAGTTCCGGAGCCCGGCTGCCTTAGTTCTTTCTTCCAGGCCAGGAAACAGCTTTTTTTTTTTTTTTTTTTTGAGCCTGTCCTGGCACTCGCTCTGTACGTAGACCAGGTTGGCCTCAAACTCACAGAGATCCACCTGCTTCTTCCTCCCGAGTTCTGGGATTAAAGGCGTGAACCACCACCAACCGGCAACTTTTGATTGGTAGTCACAAGACACATTAGAGTATTTGTAAGTCTCAGTTGCCAGGTGCAACTTGTCAACAAGGGCCCCTACCCAACCTTTCCCCAGAGCACAGAAGATGGAGGACATCACCTTCATACCTTCTCCGTGCTACTCCAAGCGTTCTGAGCACCTTTCTCCAACTTCACCAGGTGCCGCCACGTCTTTTCCCCACAGCGCTTGCGCCCTACCTTGATGGAACTCTAGCAGCCACAAGGCAGAGACTGAGCTTTTCCTCTCCCATCAGGCTGGCATCGCATACACATAAGCCAGCATCCTAAACATCACTGGGTTAGCCCTGCCACACCAGGACTTTTGGAACTGCAAGTTCACCCTAAAGACACGCAAAAATCCCCCTTCCCTGAAAGGTCCCCAGCACCTACCTCTCTGTCTGGCATACTTCGGACTTGATGCAGAAGGAATAGGGACCAGGGCTGGCTCTTAGGGTGATGCTAAGACAACTTCTGGGGGAACTCGCACAGTTTGGCTCCAAGGTCTCAGGCAAGTTCTCTCGTCTACCCCAGACAGTCTGTAAGAACCGGTCCCCACACGTGCAGAGTGTACTGAGCTGGAGCTAGCCAGTGTAACCCAAGGTGTTTCAAGGGAGAACTTGAAGCAGGTCTTGAAGACTGGGGGAGTAGTAGACTAGGAAGCACTGAGAAGACCTGGGTATTTTAGAACAGGGAGACACTCGCTGACTGTTGCAGAGAGGTGAGGCTGGGGTCCAGGAAACCTGCTCTGGAAATGCAGGTTCAGCAATGGCGTGGAGGGAGGCTCAGCAGAGGCCAAGTGAGCATGGTCTGTGTGCTGTCTCCTCCCTTCTAGAGTAGAAAAGGGCAGGCTGCCCAGCTTCCCTCATGGACCTTCACCCAGCTCCCTCAAATATCCAGAGTGTCCTTTTTAAATATCTACAAGCTGGGTCAGGAGTCTGTGAAGCAACATGGTTGTTTGGTTGGTTTTGGTTTTGGATTTTTTGTTGTGGTGGTGGTGGTGGTGATGGTATGGTTTTTTTGTTTTTTTGTTTTTTTCTTTTTGCTGTTGCTTTTATTTTTGTGGTGGTTCTGGGGATTGAACCTAGGACCTTGGTATGCCAGGCCAAGGTTCCATAACTGGAACCCTACATACTCAGCTGATTTTAAAACATAGTTAACATTTTTTTTTTGCTCATTTTAGTAAGCGTAATACTATACCAATTAACTTTCCTTATAATACAGAACTAGAAATGCTTCAATTTCAAAGTGGTCTTTGTACCTGCTTCCAAACAAGAAAATTCTTCACCCCTTTAAGGGATGGGTGGAGGACCAGCGGAAAAGTGAGGGACTATTAGCACCCTAGCATCATCCCCTGCCATCCTCCTGGCAAGCCCTTCCACGCTTGGGGACTCAACGAGACTTCTTAGGACCTTGCTCACTGGGCCCTCACCCACCTCACTGCTTCAGATGCCTGAGCTGCCAGTATGGAGACACAAATCCAGCCCTAGAACTGTCAAAGGGCACGGGAAGTGGCAAAAGGAACTGGCAGAGGGAGTTGATGCTCAAGGCCACTCACACTGGCTCCAAAACTGTCCACTATTGGGTGAGATCCGGACAAAGTGAGCACCTGCCTTGTTTTCCCCTCACAGTCAGGGATATATACATTCCACAGCTACTCAGAGGTGGAACTCTGCTGCTCTCTCAACCAAAGGTGAGCGAGACAGGCTGGAGTCTGAAAAGGGGGAGCAAGAGTGAAAGACTCTCAAAAGTGCCTGGTAGAAGTCTTATGTTCTCCATAGGGAAGAAGAAAGCTCTTCCTAAGCCAAACAAAGTGAGAACAGCTTCTCACTCATGCAAATAACACCTAGAAACTTGTTGTCTTAGACTTACCTTGTTCCTCAGGCCCTTTGATCTTTTGTGGATCATGGCCCGAAACTCAGTTTAGAAGCATATTCTATCTTTGCCACTGTTAAGCAAATGAACTTGGCAAGGCCTGGATCTGGCTTGCTTGAGATTCCACGTTGTTTAACACAGAGTTTCATGTATCCCAGGATGGCCTCGAACTCCCTTGCAGTTGAAGATAATCATACTTCTAATCCTTCCTCCTCTACACACCCAGTGTTGGCATTACAGGTGTGTACTACCAATACAGATTCCTTTGGTACTGGTGATGGAAATCAGGGCCCGCTGCATTCTGGGAAAGTATCCTACTAACTAAACCACACCCACGGCCTATGAGATTCTATAACTTGATTAGTAAAATAAACACATCTTTCCTAGGGTAGTATAACTCAGGGTGACACAGAGTGTCCGGCAGTCGCTAAATGAAAGCTTGTTAGCATGAAGAACACAAGGAAAGGCAATGACAACTGTCTTGGGTTCTCCCCACATCCACCTAGGGCATGATCTGGTACAAGCCCTAATATTGACCCACTTAAGCGATCATCTCCCTACTTTCTATACCCAGGTAAACTGAAATATTCTTGGTATAGACAGCCTCTATGGCTACTAATAAACTTGACTTAGCCTTTGAGACTTTGTTCCGGTTAAAGCACAGTGATTCTGGGTGCCTGGGGGCTGGCGGGAGCAAGAGCTGTGAATAAGTTAGGCAACGCTGCCCTCTCTAGGAAATTACCTGCGGCAATGATCGCCTCTTCGATTTTTCTGGCACAGTATGTTATCTCAAAAGATGACAAGGACTTTAGAAATGGAGGAAACGATTTATTTATTGCCATCCTCGTGCTTGGGCGTGCACATGCAGCCCCTACCACAGTATGCCTGGGGAGGTCAGAGGACCAGCAGCAACTGAGGGATGGTTCACTCCTCGCACTGCGCATTCTCGGGATCCAACTCGGGTTGTCAGGCTTGTGTAGGGCGCTGAGCTGTCTTGCTGGCAATGCTTTTCTTACTGATCAGTGAGAGCAGCCGTGTAACTTCAAGACCTCTCAAGACTGTCAGCAGTTTCTACCACTAACTTAGTTTTATCTGTGGTTGGTACCACCGTGTAGCTAATGAAACAAGCCAGATGATTTTTGCCTTGACGTAGATGGTAGTATCCAGGCACAGGTGAAGGTAAAGATGTAAACGCCCTCATTTAAAGATGAACCACCGTAAGTATGGATTTTTATTGAAGAATGGATGGGTGGATTGATGGCTCCCAGGAGGTCTTGGGTGAGCTAGTCAAGTGGTCTATCACTGGGCCACTTCCATGAGTACCTTTTGCAACCTGGTCTCCAGCATTGTTTCTCTTTGGTGAGTTTCCCTTAAATTATTTCCTTGGACATTTCCTTTTAAATAATTCTTATAACAAATAATCAGTGTGATAGTTTTTATTGAATATGCCCTTAGGCCGTCAGAAAACTTAGATGTCTCTTAAATTTGTAGTTTCAAAATTAAGATATCTATGTGAGACACAAAGATCTTGTTATATATATGTATACAACCAAAGAATTAAAGTTATTTACTCAGTGATTTGCTGTTCCTCAACCAAAGGTGCCTCAACGGTTGCCTCACCAACCATGGGCTCCTCATTCATTTCCTCCAGAGGGACGTTCTCACTAACAGGTTGCTCACCCAGCTCCTCAGGAGGAAGGAAGGTTGACTCCTCGGGTGGAAGTAAGTATGACTCCTCGAGCGGAAGGAAGGCTGCTGTTTCCTCCTCGTTTAAGGCTGTTTGATCAGAATCTCCAGAATAATCCAGAGGTTTCAATTTTGACTTTTTTGTGCTGGATAGTTTCAAGTCTGAAGTGGTGTTGCCCCAGGAGCTGTCGCCACTCCTGGAATAAGATGTATCCGATACACCTTCAGATGGGTGGAAGTAAGACAGAGTCGCCAGCTCTGGGTTGACGGAGTATTGATTGCCAAAGCTTTTGTCACTAGAAAGGGGAGAACACACATCAGGAGTCGTCTCTAGGCACGCACACTTGTAACTCAAATCAGAGCAGTTAACTAGAGACGGATGCTGCCCCACGTATCAGCAAAGGAAGGCAGAGAGTCCCGCCTTTCTCCCATTGTAGTTGTACTGCTCTCAGTCCTTGTGTAAATGAACCACGAATGCCTGGTGTATGTGGCCTGTCTCAGACTTCAATATTAGAATTTAAAAGCCAACACTAAAGGTTGCCTGAATGAATAAGGGCTTAACAAGAAACATAAAATGAGCTGAATTAGGGAAATAAACATTTAGTATTACAGGTTTAATGTGTCGGAGAAGTACCTCATCCAAGCACCATCATCAAAGAATAAAATTAATGATAATGGTGAAGATTAAAAAGTAATTCTGTGGAACTTTAATTTATGATACTGTCCAAAAGAGGCTGTAAAGAGTCCAGGCTTTCAGGCTCAAATGGAATTTAGTATATGTATATATGTGTATGTATGTATACATATATATGTGTATAATTATTTATATAAATATTAATATAATAAATATATTTAATTCTTTTTCTTTATTATTCTTTCATAGAGTACATCCCAGCTGCAACCTTCCCTCACTCCACCCCACCCAGTTCTCCCCACCTCCCCTTTCCCTCAGCTCCACTGTCCCATTTCCCTTCAGAAAAGAGCAGGTCTCCCAGGGATAGCAACTAAACATGGCAGAACACGTTACAACAAATCTAGGCGTAAGGCCTCCTATCAAGATTGGATGAAGCAACCCAGTAGGAGGAAGAGGATCCCAAGAGTAGGCAAAAGAATCAGGGACACCCACGTCACACTGTTAGGAGTCATATTTTTGTAAGAAAAGATAAATGATTATTTAAGACAAATATCTAGGCCTCAAGGTGTAAACGTGGCAGATTTTCTGTTTCTTTTGAGGTCTTAAGCAAGGCTACACAAATTTTAAATGTTCAATCCCAAGCGAATGAGTTAATTAGAAGAGAATAAATGGCCTTTGTACTCCAGGGTTATTTTGTAGGGATGTAGAGCCAGGAAGCATTGTCTGAAGTCTGTATATCCTTCCTAATCAACTGGGAGTCTATTTATGACTCTTTAAAATACTGGGGGTAAAAACAGTAAGACATTTCCTGAAATAGGGCCCATGTTTATAATGCATAGAGAAAGTGGATTCGAGCTGAATGTCTTATACACTACTGAGGAGGGTGCATATTCCTATCAGCCCACTAAAGGTTGGAGGGAGGGGAGCTTTACATCATGGACCAATGAACTGCTAAGGCCAGGAGGCTTACCTTAGGTGTTTCAATTTGTACAGCGTGGCAAAACAAAATATCAAGAGGGGAATTAAGAGGACAAGGGTCATCAGTGAGATCCCCAGCATTAATTTGATCTTGGCCTCCTCTATCTCTGACAGCTTGTCTTTGTTGGTATTGTTCAAATCAGAGCCTTGGAGGAGAGAGAGAAAACACAATGGAGAACTGAGCGTTGTGCATGTTTTCCTTGAGGAATAAGAATGACAAAATCTGTCTGCAACATTCACAGCTCACTTTTGCTACCCCAGACAATGGCAAAGAGAAGGCCACCATTTTTCTTTCCACATACCCAGATTTTCTCTCTAGTCCTCATAGCAATCTTGGAGTAACTGTGCTTAATTCCATTTTATACACTCACAAAAGTTTGCAAATCTTCTACTGATCAGAACATGGTTTTAAGCCCAACCTACCCATGATGAAATTTTTATGTCACAGCCTTTCTTCTTGGCTTTGCTCGAAACCATTCCAAGTATCTTATCGTCTCTGAGAAGGTTATTGGAACAATTTGCGAGGCACTGGTTCTTCAGAAAGGAAAGGGTGCACTGTCCTACTGTTGGGCACACACTGGTTATTCCTATGAACTAAAAGTCTGTAGTGTTGGTGGTTTCCTTTACAAGGCTTAAGAGCTATGATTGCCATTTTGTCACTGAGACCATTAAACTTACTGCACCTGATGTTACAAAAAGAAGTAGAAATTCTTTAAAAAGAATAAACTCTAGATTCCTGAAATGCGTTAAATCACAAAATCACATCTGGCTCCAGAGACATTAAGAGTCTAATAAAAACTGATTGAAATGTTTCTTTAATGTCAGATTTTGGGGATTCATGAGAATATATCTGACTTAAAATATATTTAATATTGAAACGTTCCTTCTCACGGTTCTCCCATGCCCATTCAGTGTTCCAAGGGCCTTCATTACTTTCTAGGTAATATTTAGGTAATAATCAATGACAGGTATAGATTCCCATGTCAATGTTCTCTGACTTTTAAATATTCTAATTATTGTGCTTTGGATATAGCCAAGCAGAGTTCTTGCTAGCATGTTGAAAGGTCTAGGTTCAGTCACTAATGCCAACAAAGAGATCTTAAACCAAGTGTAATGAAATGTGTACAGTTATCAATGACTGTAATATGACTTTAAGGCCCATTTTGGAATAATCAAGTAGATTATATTAAAATGAACTGCCCTCCTAAAGTCTTTTGTCTCCCCCCTGAGGTAGGATCTAACTTTATAGCTCTGATCATCCTGAAACTCAGCTCCCAAAAGTCTTTATAAGTAGGTATGCTCTTGGAGTTAACTCATAGATCCTCTAGCTAATGTCATCTCCTAGAAATCAAGCCACATCCCTTGTCTGGACTTTCTCATGGCTGCCTAGGTCTCTCCTAACAAAAGACTGCTTTGTAACAATCATTTCCTACACTGTGAATATGTATGACTCTCATTGGTTAATAAAAAACTGTCCGACTGTAGCTGGGCAGGAAGTATAGGTGGAACAGCAGACACAGAGGATTTTGAGAAGAAGAGCAGAGTTTGAAGAGATGCCAGTTAGCCTCCCAGGAATCAAGACATGATAGAGGACAGGTAAAGACACAAGCCATGTGGCAATATATGGATTAATAGAAATGGGTTAATTTAAATGTAAGAGTTAGCTAGTAATAAGCCTGAGCTATCGGCCGAGCATTTATAATTTGTATTATGCCTCTGTTTGAGTTATTTGGGATGGGGTGTTCAAGACAGAAAACATCCAAAGGATATTTGAAGCTTGCCTCAGTCTCCCTTTCCTACAGATCCCTTACTCTTCCTAACACAGCACATTTATCAAAGTCAAGGTCAGAACCAGAGAAGCCTTTACAATGTCTAACCACTGGAAGTTATAGAAAGTTAACTACAGGCTTGGGGTGGCTTTTGCTTTATGCCTCAATTTCTTCATAAAATAGAGTTGGTGGGAGAACTGACACGTGGCTAAAACACCAGAATACCTGATACATAGTGTGTCCTCAATAAATGGTAGAAAACCAGTCAGCTCCAAGTTCAATCATTTAAATGCCAAGTAGAGGGAGGACAACGTATTTCTAAGGTAACTCGCTATTTGTCATCCCTGCATATAAAAGACTTTCCATTTTCTTAAAGCAGCTCAAGGCAAGAGCTACATTTGTCAAATAATTCATTACAGAACTGAGCATATGGATGCCAGATATGCCACCAAATATATCTATTTTCCAATTATTTATTTGTAGGACAAGGGGTTTGAGAAAAATTTGTTAGGGACTGCAGACCCTCAGACCCTGAACTTTCTATGACCTCTTGCCTCGTGAAGTAAACAACTTGTTTTCCTATGCTTGCAGCTGCTCTGAGCACAAAACCCTCATGAGTTCCTGATAACAAGGAAGTGCTTTCTGGTGGGCTGGCAGTAGAAAATCCTGAGAGCTAGGGCGTGGCCACTAATCAAGGACAGCACTATATAAGCTGTCCTGGAACATAATAAAATTGGCATTCTTGCTTCAAGAGTGACCCATGTCTCTGTGTGTTCTTTAATCCCCAGACCCTTGCCTGATCACAGTTCCAGGTGGTGCAGGCGCCACAAAAACTAAAACATTGCCTTTTAGTACAACTTTCCATTCAAATTAGGAGTTTGGTTCTTCATACCTAAGTCAGGAGGCTCGCAGACACCTGTAACTTCAGTTCCAGGGGACCTGACACCCTCTTCTGGTCTCCACAAGCACCTGCACACATGTGGTACACACAGACACACACAGACACAGACACAGACACGTACACACACACACACACACACACACACACTAAATCTTAACATAAAAAAATTGAATGGGATAAGGGCACTCTACTTTTGCTATTGTTTTTTTTTTTACATTTAAAACTTTGAAGTAAAGACCATTTTTAAAAGACTATATATTGTATGTATTATTCACTTACCTATCTTAATCTGTTTCAACATTGTAAGTCAGAAGACAAGAAGATGATAATAGTCATTGGTAAAGGGGCAACAAGAATACTTGAGAAGTATAATTTATCTAATGGAGTCAATGTCCTTTTGATGTGGCATTAACCATCTACAGTCTCCCACATAGACTCACTACCCTTTGCTATGAGAAATTGTTTCACAATGCAGCCACTAAAATTCAGGTGATATTTATGTATCTGTTAATTGAAGTACTTTGTTCTTACCTGGAATTGCTTGATAGAGTTGATCTTTATCATTCATGTTCACTGGGGTTTCATTTATAACTGTTAAGACAATATGTTGATGTTATAAGTAACATTCACTTACTACTACATTTTTTGAAAGTGTGTGAAAGTGTGTGTATAATATGTGAATTATTATTCATTGTAGTATTGTTTGGTAAAGGGAACATGTCTATAACTTACATTCAAAAAAGTTTATCTAATACACTCCTATTTCCTGTAGATTCATCATAGTATTTAGTATATTCTAAATACTTAATGCTTATTTAACATAGTATTTATTAACAAACCATTTAATACTATACTTAGGGGCCAGTGTAAGGTAAGATTGTCAGACACCTGTCAGGCAACTAAAAATATTTGAAACTGTGCCAATATTGACAAATGATCTTGAAGGTTCTACAAATATTGATTTTTAGGTTAACAGAAATCTTAGTCTCGAGTAGATAATATTTATTGTAAATACACAATATACAAATAATAATTGAGTGAATATGATAAATTTTTCATTTTATAATGCACATATATGCCACCTACATTACATATGTTAATATGTCCTTCTGTATCTGTGCAGAATATATGCATGCATAGATGGATCTTTGCATTGTATTGTGCATGTGTGCTTGTGTAGTCATGCTGTGCACATTATCTTCATGCACAAATATACACTGATACTTTACACTTTTATGTGCATTGCTTAGATGTGTATCTCTGTGTGTTTATGCATATGCTGTCCCAAACATGGAAGGACCACACTGGGCAAAAGCCTTGCTAGAAATGCTGCATCATGCACTTAGGTGAATGGTTTTCAATCTGGGCTCATCTGTTTCTGGAGTGAAAGATATAAAATAGGAAGATCATGATAGTTACAATAAAAGGACAAGAAAATCAATGCCACTATAGCAGCAAGTGTCCTCTCTGATTTTAAGATACACTCTAGACTCTAACATTTGTAGGAGGATATATGTGTGGATGCAGAAGAATCAGAACTGCAACTTTATCATTTCTCTGCATATTACAGATGCTATTGCAAGGGGCAGTAAACATGAACTTATTAATTATTGCTAGAAATATTTAGAGCGATCTTGTGTTTCTATATAAAATGTTAGAAAATTAACATCAATATAAATGTTAGAAACATTTCCCCAGTTACCTAACTGCATGAATTTACCTTTAGCTAGATTTGTCCAAAATGCAGGCACATTGTGGGTTGATGCTGTTTAAAGAGATAACATGGGTAATGAGTGAGAATCTATTGTCTACAAATATGTACTCCCTCAAAAACCATAGGAGAGTTTTCCTGGGTTGTCATAGCTTCACAAATACTTTATAAGGAACAATGATCTGATCTTGGCAAGAAAATAAAAGAGTGATTTTAAGTTTGTAGCCTCCCACTCCCAAGACCCTTCCTCAAATAATCTTAGGAAACATTAATTTTTGTGACCAGAGATATATTTATTCCTTAGTCAAGTAGAAAATTTTACATTGTCATCAAAAATATTAAAAACATACCCCATATATACCATATAATTATCCTAGTTAGATCTAAGAATTTATAATTGTAATATATATATATATATATAGTCCCCATGATTTGTCAGGGACCTCTGAAAAGGGACTCTTACATATTTGCCACTTAAAAGACTTCAGGATGACTCTAAATGAGAGTAGTATGGATTCTTTAGGCATGCTAGCCACTTATGTCATTTTCAGAGCAGTGAAAGCTAATTGCATAAGTCATATAATAACATGCTCCAGATATCAATACAGTGTAGTAGTTTTAATACTTTGTATATGTTTACGAGAGGGCTCATTAGATTTTTCTTCTTCTTCACCGATGGATTTTTCTGGCGATTTTTCAGTTGCGTTGACGAGTTTGTCTAGGAAAAGAGATAAAGTATTTTCAGCATATTAAAACACTGACCAAATCCTGGGGTTTCCATGCTTGAAGACTAAAAATGGAACAAAGACAAGGAGAGAACAAAGGAAGAGGATGCCATTTTTATCAGAAATGATGATTAGGAAGGAAGACACCAGAAAATAGTGTTTTCGTGATTATGGAGTATTTGAAATAGGGCCAATATGTCTGTGTTCCATGAAAGAGAGGCAAAGCAGAGAACCCAGCCCTTTAGAGGCAATGGTGAGTTATTGGCTACGCTGGCTGGCTTTGGCAGGCTCCCTACACAGGCCTTAGTATAGATCTCAGCTTATGATGTGTCCATGTGGTCATACCACTGAGTGCTTGGGCTGTAGTAGTTAACTTAACCAATAGTGCCATAAGGTCCACGTGGGACACCACCCACCAAAGGGGGATTCCAAGGAGGGGCAGAATTAATCCAGAGTCTACAAATACATCACAGGTGTTTGTTAACCACAAAGAATAGAGAAGGGAATGTATTTCTGAAATAAATATTGAGGCAGAACTCAAAGCAGGTGAATAATCCAAGCTATAAGGCAACCATCTATCCTAAGAACATCCGGGTGCCTCAGTTTATCCCCACTGTCCACGGAGCATTAGCAATAATGCTCAAGCAATTTGTTGTTAGTGAAAGCTATCCTAGGGCTCACCGTTTATTTGATAGGCTAGTTCTTTTGGAATGTTCCCACAAGGCCCATAAGTAGAAACCACGAAGTGTTTTCTATCCAACTTTGTTGACAATCCTCTAGTTGTGAGGTTTTGGAATCTCTTGCTTGGGTACTATGGTCTTCAGTAACCCATATCGTAGGCAATTTGAGGTGTCTGGGATGCTCGAGAGTGAGCTAACTGTAACTTATCCCACACTACTCAAGATGTTCGCTCTACACAAGCAAGATACCCCTGGTAGTTTACCTAGGTTTGCCCTAAATGTGTGACACGACTTGGAAATGCTCAAATGCTCCATCATTGTCAAGGAAATTTATTAGTAATTAATGAATCTTCCCCAGTATTGAAATTTGCCTTAGCCAGAAAGAGTCACTTTTTTTTTTGCTATTTCACACCATTCAAAGTATAAAAGAGAAAATAATCCCACAAATATGGGTCTACTCAAGATGTGTAGTAGCCTGGAATTCTAAATTTAGTTAATGTTTCTTTTCATGCAAACAGGGAAACAGAAGGTTTGGAAATGAGAGACTGTCTGCCTCTTCAGGAATGGTCACTGTGATGGTGGTGATGGGGCTTCACAGAAAATGGTGTGAAAGAAAACTTAGGATAAAACAAACCAGGCGATGTCATAACTCTGCTGGCTTTCAGAAGCACAAGATGGGCTCCAGAAGGGGCCCTTTCCCCGGTGCTGTTCTGGGACCTTGTCCCAAGGTCTTTGTTTTGGAGGAGCGACTATGCATTCAGTACTTACAGTTCTTGAGCGCGAACTTCAGGTTCGTGGTAGCACTCACAGATATTTCAGAGTCTGTGCCATTTGAGTTCTGTGTGGTGAACACATCTACGAACAGAAAACCGGAAGTCTCTAGCAATCACCAATTGTCCATTTTATTTTTTTTTTCTTCATAGTATATTTTTAAACTTTAAAAAGTATCCACTGACTAATGAAAAAATAATTATTAAAAAAAAAAGGATAAGACTTTTTCTTTTTCAAAGAAAGTGGAGCAAGGGGCAAGCTGAAAATTCATAAGGAGAAAAGTCAAACTAATTTTCTTATGATAAGCAACTTTGAGAACCAATTATTGAGGAAATTCATGGGAAATATGTATATAAGATGTCAAAATCAGTTTGTGGGGGAAAAAGTCACTAAATCTTAACCCTGGTCACTCAGAAAATGAGACAGGAGTAGAGATAGACTTGCTGAGAATATATTCCATATTGGAGGAGGGTGTGCTCCCAAATGGGTTTGACTAATGTTATTGTACAAGAGGGAAGTCTGCACACAGAAACAGCAAGGATATTACGTGACGAGGGAGAGGCTCAAACAGGTTTCTACAAGTAAAGGCACACTCGATCCACCACAACTGAGGGAGGCACAAAAGGTTCTTGACTTTTACTTTGGATGGAGCCCTGACTTGATTGGTTCTTCTATGCTTTTAGACTTCCAGCCCCTAGAACTATAGGAAAATAGTTTTCTATTGTTTTTATACTCCTAATTTGTGGCATTTTGTTTCAGCAGTCTTAAGAAATGGATCCACACCTCAAAATAAGTTTTGGCTATTTACCATCAAATTAGATGAGTTTTTACTAAAGCAAGCATCACAATGCCGTGATGGACCACAGTAGACAGTATTAGTAGCAAATATAGTCTTATACAATTTTGTAATGTCTCATGCAAAAAGTTGTAAGAAATAAGGTTCTAATTTTACACACTGAAGTGTCTACAAAGTAAATTAGAGTTTTAAAACTGGGAAATAAAATGATGAGAGATTAAAAGGCAGGACTAAGAAAAACCAAACCTGTACAATCAGAGCTTTAAAAACTTACAATGTTTCGTGTCTTTATAGGAGTTGACGGGTGTCTCGTGGGCAGGAGTGCCACCTTCATTTCCTTCTGGTTTGTGTATGAGAGGATGAGATTCTTCATTTTTGTCATCTTCATGTTCAGAGTCATTGTTGCTCACATTTTCATCATCTGAGTAATACTGTTCTTCATCTGACGGCGTATCATCAAGGTCCTCTAATACAAAAAACAGGACGCACCATGGGACAAATGAGATTTAAAAGTTAAATTATAGTACACCACCTGCAAAAAAAACCCGGCCGTTTTCTGACTTTCTGTAAATAAGGATCAGCCTTCTGATCGGCTAATTTTAAAGGTTTGGAGGTTTTTTGTTTGTTTATTTTTTTTTAACTTACGTTCCACACTGGGCTGTAGATTGCTTATGTCTGGGAGAAAAACCTCAAATAAAAAGATAAACAATAAAAAATACATTGGGAAACAGATGTGATTGATCCAGCAATCTACCGTCTCCTCAGGGCTTCCTTCCCAGGAGGCCCGAAGACTCAGTAGGATATTATGACATCACTGGGAAACAGAGTGCCGGGGAAACGCCCAGAGCTTTGTGGTTCCATATTATGACCATTTCATTCTTGGTGTCACGGTGGTTTTAGTTTTAAGAAATAAATTTTTTTCTTTGACAGGGAACAAATGTGTTTTTACAAAATAATTTTAGTTATTGGTCCATGAATTGTAATTCATCAGTCTTGATAGTGACATGAAAACTTTGGGAACTTAGGTGTTGTTTCTAATGACATCATATGTTTCGGAGAGAGAAACAAAACAAACAACAAAATAAAATAAAATAAAAACCTAGTCAGAGAAAACAAAACTCAAATCTTAATCCAAATACCCTGTAAGTTCTCATTCATAAACTATTTGACTACAATTCTTTAAGAAAAATTTTGCGAAACGTCTTTTTTTTTAAGAATTATTTTCATTATAAGATAGGCTTGTTTTGTTTAATACATTTTTTTTCAATGCCATCCAACTTCTACTGCACATTTTAATGGAGAAAATTATCTAATACTTAACAGTTAAAAAGTTACCCCAGCATGAATAGTCTTGTACATGGATTACTTATGTAAAAACAGTGAATGAACAGTAAAGACAGGGAACTGATTGATATTTTTACAGGACCACCTAACTATGAATGCTAGCCTTCATTTTATTGATGATAACCCCTCTACATCAGATGACATCCATACTTACAACACAAACATCAGGAAAAACAGCATAATGTTGCAGGACTTTATGCTTGTCTTCAGTGAGGGTGAAGGTCGTAAGTGAAGTAAAACCTGTGGTCCTTCACTGCCAGTGCCTGGTGACATGGCCAACTCAGCAGAGTCTTCACCCGACGTTGAGAAGGAACACCCAGTGGCGCGGTCAGCACCCACACAGGACCTATGAAGGACCGCCCTGAGGTATGATCAGCATTTGTGACCTGACTGACCCATGAAGGTTATATTTCAAAAGTTTATTCCGTTGAAGTCCAATACAGTGAAATGGCCTACAGAAAGCTTGCATAATCAACTGGTTTGAAAAACACCTGCTATCAGGCCTTTCTTTAGATCAACAAGTCCAACATGTCAATGTTGGTCTAAAGACTAGAAACAAACTCCAGCAAGCAACCCTTTTCAAATGTTAACCATGGTTTTTTTTTCCCCAACAAACTAGTATGATAAGAGCATTTGCATGTAGACGAGCATGCAGTCTAAGAACGCTCAGCAAGAATAGAGATGAATACCCAGGCAGTGGTGGTGCACACCTTTAATCCCAGCACTTGGGAGGCAGAGACAGGAGGATCTCTTTGAGTTCAAGGTCATCCTTGGCTACAGAGTGAGTTCCAGGACAGGCTCCAAAACTACAGAGAAATCCTGTCTCGAAAAACAAACAAAAGAATAGAGATGAGTATGTTACTTTGTCAGGTTGGCTTTCTAGTGGATTTTTCAAAGCTTTTGTGTGCACATGTGCATGTTGTATGCTTGCATGTGTGTGCACATGCATGTGCAGGCATCCAGAGGTTAGCCTGGATGTCATCCTCAGAAACATTGCATGTCCGTTCCCTCTCCTAGCCCTTACATCCTCTCACGCCTCAGTCTCTCATTCTTTCTGCTCCTCTGTCTTCTTTCTCCTGTCTCTCCTGTCTTTCTCCTGTCTCTATTCTCTCTCTCTCTCTCTCTCTCTCTCTCTCTCTCTCTCTCTCTCTATCTCACTTTCCTATGCCCCTCCCATCTCTATCTCTTTCCCCTCTTCCTCTCCTGCCTTCCTTCTATCCCTTTTATTTCTCCCTCTCCTTTCTTCTCTCTTCTGTATCTCTCACCTCTCTCCTCCCCTCTCCCCCTCATCTTTTCTCTTCATTCTCTCTCTACTCTCTCCCCTTTCCTGTCTTTCCCCTTTATCCCTCTTTCCTTCCTGCGCTCTTTCTCCTCTACCATTTCTTCCTCTTCTCCCCCTCTACTCTCTCCATGTTTCTCTCTCCTCTCTCCCATCTCTTTCCCTTCTCTCTTCTATTTCCTCTTATTTCCCCTTTCTCCCATTTTATTCTCCTCTCTGTACCATTACCCTCACCCCTTCTCTCGCTCCTTACACTCCACTTCCCTTTCTCTGTCTCCTAACTCTCTTTCCTCTCTTCTCCCACTTTCCTCTCTGCCTTGTCTCTCCTTTCTATCTTTCCTTTTCGCTCCTCCCTTATCACATTCTCATCTTTTTCTCTCTTCTCTCCTTCCCCTCTGTCTCCTTTGTCTCCACTTTCTCTTCTCTCTTTCCCCATTTATCTTCTCTCTCTACCTTTTCTCTCTTTCCTCCCTCCTCTTATGCACACCTCATCTCTCCCTGCCCTCTTCTCTGTAGCCCCCTCCCTTTCCATCCTCCTTCTTGCCTCCACTTTCTCTCCCTTATCTCACATCTTCTTCCTTTCCTCTTCTCTGTCCTCTCTAGCTCCTCACTCTCTCCCATCTCTCCCCTCATATTTTCTTCTCACTCTCTCCTCATTGTTCCCTCTGTGCTCTCTTCTCTTTCCCTCTCTCTCACTCACTCTCTCCTCAATCCCCCATTTTCCTCCTTCCCTCCTACTTCATCTCCTGCCTCCCACTTTGTTCTTTCACCTCTCACTGTGTTCCCTTACCCTCACCTCTTCTCTCCTCGTCTCTCGTTTCAACTGTCTCTCACTTATATCGCATGCTTCCCTTTCTCTTCTCCTGTTTCTGTCTCCTTTCATTTATCTCTTCTCTCTTTCTCCCCTCTTTTTCTCTCCTATATCACTCCTCTTGTTTTCCCTCTCTTGCAGCTATTCTCTCTCCTCTCCCTCTCCTTCATCTCTCTCTCTTTCTAGCCCCTCTATCTAATGTGCATTAGTAACATAGCAGAAGAATAGACTTGTACAGATCTGTAAATACCTGAAGTAGAACATCAGGTCACATTTTTTTTGAATCGTGTAGTTTCCTGGGATATTCAAGTACACAGTGCAAATAGAGATTATGGTGCAGCAACAATAATGATGAAGAGAGAGAGGGGAGAGAGAAGAGAGGGGGCAGGAACATGAGGAAGGTCACAGAAGAGAGAAAGAAGAGAGATGGAACACAGAGAGGGGATAGTGAGAGGAGAGTGATGTGGGAGGAGGGATAGAGACAGGAGAGGGGGACAGAGAGGTGTAAATAGATTTTTTGGGAGGCTGCCAGCTCATAAGAAATGACACAAAGACTTATTAATTATGAAAACTCAGCCTATAGTTTAGATTTGTCCCATTAGCTTTTATAACTTAAATTCATCCATTTCTATTCATTTATGTGTTGGCATGTGACTAATGGCTTTTCCTTTTCCTCCTGCACATCCATCTGCTCTCTCTGTCTCCATTGGTGTCTCCTCCTTTCTTCTTCTCAGAGCTCTCTGTCTCCAGAAATCCCACCTAACCTATTTCTGCTCACCTAATGGCCGTTTGGCTCTTTATTAAACCAATCATGGTGACACATATTCACGCACTGTAAAGGAATATTCCACAACATAGAAATGAGAGAGATGTGATGGAGAAGAAGGGATAAAGAGAAGGGGCAATAGACAAATGAGAGAAAGAGAAAATGAGAGACAGAGAAGATACAGGGAGAGTAAGAGAGGAAAGAGGGATGAGAGATGAAGTCAAGAAAGAGAAGAGAGGAGTTAGGAAGAAGAGAATGGAAAGTGATGAGACAATGAGAGAGACCAGACAGATGGAGAGGAGTGGAGGGTGAGAGAGAGAGAGAGAGAGAGAGAGAGAGAGAGAGAGAGAGAGAGAGGAGGAGGAGGAGGAGGAGGAGGAGAAGAAGAGAGGAGAGACCAATGAGAGGTGAGGGAGCCTGTTGAGGGAGTATAGAGAGAAAGGTGAGGCAGAGAGGAGAAAATGGAGACGAGAGAGTCATCAGGGAGAGCAGCAGATGAGAGAGAGGATAGAGAGTTATGAGAGAAATTAAGAGAAGTGAGAGAAATGGAGAGAAAGAGGTAAGGGTGGAGAGAGGGAAGACAATGGAAGGAGAGAGAGAGCAAAGACATAGATGACAGAGGTAGAGAGAGAAGAGAAAGACAGGGAGAGAGGCACTTCCAGCATTCTAAACTGTAGGAGCCCAGAATCTGGGTACAGAATTCTGTGTAGGCACACGGAATCTACTCCAAGTAGAAGAGTCAGAGTCCTGCTGCTGTATCACATGAATGTTCAGGCCTAAAAGTCCATCTGTCTTCTTTGATGTTAGTACACAGCACCTTGTTCTGCAGGAAGTCTACATAGAATTTTTTTTTTTGCAGAGATTCCATTCTGTAGTGCTTTGTCATAGACCATTTTTGGTGCTCAACTAGGACATGAATTTGTGGTGATACACTAGAATATCCTGTGTGCTCCTTTCTAGTGCTTCCATGAGTCCTGATGCCATAGATCCATGAATTTCTGCTGCAGTCTTACATTCATGTGCGTTCTCCAACAGTACCTCTGAGCGTGATACGTTAGTGTACAAACCACTCTTGTTGCTGTACTGCTACTTCCATTGTGCCAAGTACTCACCCATCCCCATGCATTACTCTGCTCCTAAAACTGTGTGTGCTGCTGTTCAGGCATGTTCTGAGCTCTGCAAGTATATCCAAGTGCTTTGTTGTGAAAGCACACTGGTATATTGCTAAAGCAGTTGTACAAGCAGCATTTGGAAAGATGCCATTATGCAGTGCATTAGTATTGGATATGTGTGCAGTGACATGCTAGCACGTTCATGTGCAGTGATGTGCAGTGATGTCCTTGTGTGCTTTTGTCTAGTGGTTCCATGAGTACCGATGTAGTACACCAGTGAATCTTGTTGTAGTGTTATATGCCCGTGTGTTTTTGTTATAGTACATCTGTGGGCAGTTGTACTAAGACATCTATGTGTGTGGGTTTACAAGAAAAAGCATTATCAATTATGAACTATCAAATCCATGTGTGTTACTTTATATGTATTTCTATGTGTTCAGTTATACTGGTAAACATAAGTGTGTTACTGTTCACAGACATCCATGTGCTTTGATGTGCTAGCAAAT